TACATACATACATATATATATATTATACTGCATTTTAGGTTTGGGGGTACATGTGAAGAACATGCAGGATTGTTGCATGGGTACTACACGGCAATGTGGTTTGCTGCCTTCCTCCCCATCACCTGTATCTGGCATTTCTCCCCATGTTATCCCTCCCCAGCTCCCCACCCCCCGCTGTCCCTCCTCTAATTCCCCCCCACAGACCTCAGTGTGTGATGTTCCCCTCCCTGTGTCCATGTGTTCTCATTGTTCAACACCTGCCTATGAGTGAAAACATGCGGTGTTTGATTTTCTGTTCCTGTGTCAGTTTGCTGAGAATGATAGTTTCCAGGTTAATCCATGTCCCTACAAAGGACATGAACTCATCATTTTTTATGGCTGCATAGTATTCCATGGTGTCTATGTGCCACATTTTCCTCTTCATTTAAAGGCATGCATGCACAAATTAGATTTGGAGACAGTTCTGGAGACACTGAATTGGCAACTATAGTCGACAGACATTGCTGCGCAGCAAATACTTCTACATTGTTTCTGTACCCTTAATTTGCAGCAGTCTAGGAAAGAATGAAGGAAGGGGAGTAATATTTGTCAACCCTAACTACATTGTAAAATGAAGCTTTTTTTTTTTTGAGAGGGAGTCTTGCTCTGTCACCCATGCTGGAGTGCAGTGGTGCAGTTTCAGCTCACTACAACCTCCACCTCCTGGGTTCAAGTGATTATCCTGTCTCAGCCTCCCCACTGGCTGGAATTACAGGCAAGCACCATCATGCCCACCTAATTTTTGTGTTTTTCTTAGTAAAGATGGGGTTTCACCCTGTCGGCCAAGCTGGTCTCGAACTCCTAATCTCAACTGATCCGCCTGCCTCAGCCTCACAAAGTGCTGGGATTATAGGCTTGAGCCACTGTGCTCGGCCTGAAGCATTTTATGACGCTCACTACAGGGTGTTCATAAGTGGTAAATAAGGTCATTGGCCTAGATAACTTAAGATCCTCTGCAACCTGGAGATGAAGAACTTTATAAAGAACTTTATAAAGGGGTTAATTATTACCACCCATCAGAGTTTAGATTTAGTCCCACCGATTATATTTCTCCTTTTATAGACAGAGAAATCAGTGAAAAATAAATATATATTTGGAGGATTAAATCCCAATCTGTATCTCGAGGTTACCTTTATGTCTAATAGTTGTGATATAACATGTTGCTTAGAATAGTTCTATAAATGGAATTCTCACATAGGACCACAGAATTGCTTCTTCACAGGGTTTCAGAGTTGGAGGACATATAAAAGGACAAATCAATCCATAAATCTGTAAATAATCCTAAAAGAAGAGTGGTGTGTCAGTTATTGGCACCAGTACATGATGAATCCTGCTGGGTTGTGGAAAAAGGAGAAACTGACCTGAACAAAACCATACTCTACACAGCTGTCCCTGACATTCTACCACCTGTTAGCATTCAGTATTAATTTCATGGATCAAATCAAGGCATGCAAGTGCATTAAATAATTTTTTATAAAAACAACTGCTGATTGCTGAGGGTCTATGAGAGAAGAAAAATTAGGAGCTGTTATTTTCCTATCAACCATTACCCGCATTAACAAGAACAGGAAATGTGAATGAATAAAACTCTTACATCATACCAGAAATAAGAACAGCTGAATCCCCTAAAGGATTTTATATTCTATCATCAGACAACTAAAGAAAACAATTCCATATAAATGGCTGCATTAATCATTGAAAGAAACTTTCCTACTTTTTTAAAAGAGCAACTAGAAATACTTACTTTTTGAAAATAGAGTAACCATTTGTTAAACCATGTATACCATTGAGGATACTTTGGGCATAAAAGGGAATTTCCACAATAACTCTACAGTAATCTTTTATAGCCAAAGTTATGAAGAAGATCAGGATTTGGGAAAATTGTGGTCGAGATTTGATTTTCCTTTTCTGTTTGATAGGCTTATCTAAATTCTCCTAGCTTGAATGTAGTAAATATGAGTGTGTAAAAACGTATGTATATCTAATTCATCTCTTGGGGGAGGTTTAACGTAACTATAAATAAAAATTCTTTCCCCAAGTAAAAAATATGTTACATAGTGGTGAATTCTACCTTTTCTCATTTCTCTACATCCAAAACTATCACCAGGTACTGCTAATTTTACTTTATAAAGCTCTCTCGATTGGTCTCTTCAACTTCATCACCACTGCTTTAAATGAGGCATACTTTCTCGTTTGGACTATGGCAGCAGTCTCTCTTCCTTTAGTCTCTTCTTCAAATCCACCTCTGCCACCTCCACCCTTCATATCATCCATCATATATTTTTCCCTGCCTAAATTCCTTGGTTGGCGTCTGTTAAATCCAAGTTCCTTAAGCATGGCATACAGGGGCCAGCTTCTATGAGCTGTTCCTTACTTACTTCTCCTGTCTCATCTCCTGACACTTTCCCTTATGCCTTGAGATGCAGCTTACCAGTACCTCTACCGCATATACAACCACATACATACACACCCTGATCCCCTCCCTCATGTACAGCCATATATAATTCTCTCCACCACATCCTTTATCACACTCCTGCAAGCCTTGAAGCAATCTGAACACAGAAACCATCTTTGATTTTCAACTCGTAATTGGGGCTGAACATACTTGTCTTGAACACACATTGCTGCTTTGTTAGTACAGGTATCCTAATGTGGCACATGTATATAGTTAAAGCTATAATGCATTCCCCAAGTTCCCCTTCAGGACTAAAGGGTTATTTCCCAACAGCTGGAAGTCTTGCTGCCAGAAAGCCTTCTTTAGGAATTGCCTTTTCTCAACTCAAGACAACCCTAAAGGACGCTTCCCAGTTTCCTGCGGGGTCCACTGAGGCCTTGAGATTGTACTGAAGTCAACTTCTCCCTCTGCTGTTGCTTCCCTTCCACAGGTGTTTATCACAAGAACAATCTCTGCTAAACTTCCTGTAAGCACACTCTCAGGGTCAGCTTGCTGGGGAACCCAAGCTATAATATGTTTGTCTTGTTGACACTTTCTTCTGAGTTCTAAATCATGGGAAGTTATGGTTACCTAAAATCTTACTAATTGAAGATTATTTAATCAGACTTGTATTCAGCACCTGCTCCATGCCAGGCATTGTGCCAGATACAATGGAAACGAATCAAGACTTGGCCCTTGCCCTGGAGTTTACAGTCTGAGGTGACAGTTACACATGAAACTAACTGTACTAGAGCGTCTTGAGAATCTGTTTGACTTAAACATCAATAATTTTAGCATAGAAGTCAAAAGCAGGGACTTTATGGCGTTAAAAAAACAAAAGGAAAATATTTCAGGGGAAGGAAAATGAATATAAATAAGTAGAATGAAATTTTAGAAGGGCACAGAATTTGTCTTTGTAACTCTGGAAGCCTTTAGGGAAAAGATAATTTTTACTTTTCATTTTGAAATAATTTCAAACTTATAGAAAAGTCACAAGAATACTGAACTTGCATATACCTTTTATTGCAAATCCATCAGTTTTTAACATTTTCCCTCATTCTTTTTCTTTACACACATACAATTGTTTTTGTGACCATCTGAAAATAGGTTAAATACTACATTATATCACTTTATTCCTTAATAATGTACTTCCTAAAAACAAGGGTATTCACCTCTGTAACCACAATGTAGTTATCAAAGTCAGGAAATTTGACTTTGATCTTTAGAGTCCAGATTCAAATTCTGTTAATCGTCCCAAAAAAGATGAGTTTAGGAAGAGTCATATAACTTAACATTTGTGATGTAAATTAAAAATCATATGAAGTAAGCCATAGAAGATCTCGGAAGTTTGCTAACATTATTTAAATACCACAGTGAGGCCGGGCACGGTGGCTCAAGCCTGTAATCCCAGCACTTTGGGAGGCCGAGGCGGGCGGATCACGAGGTCGAGAGATCGAGACCATCCTGGTCAACATGGTGAAACCCCGTCTCTACAAAAAATACAAAACATTAGCTGGGCATGGTGGCGCATGCCTGTAATCCCAGCTCATCAGGAGGCTGAGGCAGGAGAATTGCCTGAACCCAGGAGGCGGAGGTTGCGGTGAGCCGAGATCGCGCCATTGCACTCCGGCCTGGGTAACAAAAGCGAAACTCCGTATCAAAAAAACAAACAAACAAACAAACAAAAAAAACCACAGTGAAATGAAATACCACTTCTTTCTCTGTAGAAAATACCACTTCTTCTTCTTTTTTTTTTTTTTTTTTTTTTTTTTTTTGAGACAGAGTTTCGCTCTTGTTACCCAGGCCGGAGTGCAATGGCGCGATCTCGGCTCACCGCAACCTCCGCCTCCTGGGTTCAGGCAATTCTCCTGCCTCAGCCTCCTGATGAGCTGGGATTACAGGCATGCGCCACCATGCCCAGCTAATGTTTTGTATTTTTTGTAGAGACGGGGTTTCACCATGTTGACCAGGATGGTCTCGATCTCTCGACCTCGTGATCCGCCCGCCTCGGCCTCCCAAAGTGCTGGGATTACAGGCTTGAGCCACCGCGCCCGGCTAACCACTTCTTATTTTCTACAGAGAAAGCAAGGATTAGGCTCATGTTACCTGTAAAGGTGTGACTTATGGCTCCCCAGAAATGAACCTTACTCTGGAGAGCCCATTGGTGAGGTTCTTTTCACAAGAGATTGTATATTTTTGACCCAGGGATTGTCGATTTGTTGAGCTCCCGTGGAGTATGCCGCCCTGTCCTTAACACGTCTTCACAACGCTTATCTTAAAGGACATTCTTTGGAACTGTCTTTCACAGTGAGGCGCCCCGCCAGCCAGGCCGGCAGGTAGGTAGACGGGCGGTTTCGGGAACTAGATCCTGCTGGTCTCCCCTAACACGTGGTCCTTGATGCTCTCGAGGACTGGGCCATGAACCTCAGCACACAGCGCTTTGCCAGGGCTCGGGGCCGCACGCCAGCCTGCCGAAGGTGTCTGGAGGACTTGGGCGGGGGCGCGACTTCTGCTGCACCGCTTCCTCTCCAGCCTCGTGGGCTTCTAGGACCCTATGACGTCACTTCCGGAGTGGTCTGTTGGGAGTTGTGGCGGTGGCGAGGCCCAAGCACAGCCGGCCAAGCGGGGGCAAAACCCATGTCGTGTCCGCCCCACAGCTCGGCGCCTCTAGAAGCCATGGCTCTTCCGCTGAAGCTGGAGCCGGACATGCAGGGAAAGGTAGATTTGTTTCGGGCCCGTATCGCCCGGGAAGCCGAGGATCTCGTGTCCACCTTCTTTCCTCAGAAGCTCTCAGAGTTGGATAGCCGAGTTCAGGAGCTCCGGCTGCAAGACCTGCCCAGAATCCATTCAGTGCCAACCCCGGAGCCCCTGGACACGCCAGTCACCGTGGGGGATGGACCCAACCGGGATCTGCCGCCTCTGCAGACCCAGTTCTCCATCAAGGTCCCAGCACTGCCTGGCAGCGAGGGACAGCTTCTGCGGAGCAACCAGCATCTGGTGGAGCTGATTGAGCGGGTAAAACCTGAGATCGAGCTGCTGAGAGAGAAATGCAACACAGTGCGGATGTGGGTGCAGCTGCTCATCCCGAAGGTGGAGGACGGCAACAACTTCGGGGTGTCTATCCAGGAAGACACTGTGGACCAGCTGTGGACCGTGGAGAGCACAGCGACCTCCTATCTACGAGGCTTCTCTACCTACTACAACACCCGGGCCAAGTTGGTATCCAAGATAGTGAAGTACCCGCAAGTGGAAGATTATCGCCGCACTGTAGCAGAGGTGGATGAAAACCAGTATCTGAGTGTGCGCCAGATCCTGCTGCACCTACGGAACGAGTATGCCACCTTGCATGATGTAATCCTTAAAAACTTCGAGAAGATCAAGACCCCTCGGAGCACCAACACTGATAACCTATACTGATAGCCTTGCTTCACCCCACTTGCCTTCAGGAGTTGGCTGAGCTGTTTAGGCAGCTAGAAAGCTGGTTATTAATGACTCTACGGGTGGTGAAATGACTGGAAATGTGCGTTATTACTTAGTTAGAATTTCATACAGCTTACCCTCATATTGAATGATCTTTTGGTGTAATTTTCATTTGATTTTCCATTTGTGGGGAGAATGGGGACAAACCATCAAGGAGAAAGGACTGCCATTTTTAAAAGCAGCTTTGTAGATGAATGTTGGCCAAGATTTCTTTATTATGGCGTTGGTGACATTGAATGGTTTCAGGGGTTACTTAAAAACTAAAGCTTAAAAGAAATTTAAGTGAAGCTTTTCCTAAAGTTCTGCTGTCTGTTAAACTTTGTTCAAACTTCAGAATGCTGCTTTTACACCATCATTTTTCTTTTTTGCAAGGAAGGGAGTTTAAAGGGATATGTTTAGGTCATTGTATGCCTCCAGTTTAGCAGATTGAAATAAAACTGGTTATAAAATTTTATGAGGCCTAAGTGTGCTTATCTGAACTTTAATTTGCAGATGGGGACAATTCAGATGATAATTTCTTACTTCAGATGGACTGATACACTTGATACTTTTCAACTCTGATATGTAAGAAAAATGAGCAAAGAGTAATAGATTTTAATTCTTCTAAACAAATGGATACCCACTTCCCTTAGAATGAAAAGGAATCGATGGAAAATGACTTCCTTCTGTAACTTTCTACCATCTCAGCATCTTCATTTCCTTTTACACAATGTAGAATTTCTTCTGTGTATCCATCTGTCTCTTTAAGTCTCTGCTAAATCCATCAAGCTTTGAATCCCATAATACTTTTCCCCCAGTTGATTTTCATTTTCGTTTCTTTTTGTCTCTTAAGATATTTATTATAGTCCCTCATTAGCATTTATCTCTCACGTTATATAGGTCATTCTCTAAAGGCTCTAAAATGTGGCTTAGCGTTTTCCCACCTCACTGAGGGGAAGCCATTGTCTTCTCAACAGTGAACTATATGGTCGGTATTTTTAAACTTCAGCATTTCCAGATTTCATTTTCAGATAAGGTAAATTACTGTACTATGAATCTATTCTAGCCTATGTAGATTAGAAAAATCATGCACTGGATTAGCAGAAACTTTATTTTCAAAGTAAACCCTGAAAAATGATAATAAGTGAAATTATTCTTTTGTTGAACTTCTGAAAAGCCCAAGTCTTTCAAATGTGTGCTTAAAAAGTAACAACAGCAAAAGGTATTACCTAACAGACGTCTTACATCCTCCCCCTTAAAGTAAAGAGTTCTTTTTATTTTCCCTTTAAGGTATTCTGTCTGATTCAGAAAAGTGCCAGGAACCCTAAATCAGTTCATACCGTTTGACAGACTTTAATTGCACACAAATATGTAATGGACAATGTAAGGAAACAACAAATGTTGCTTAATTTTTCAACTAATGTTAATCATCTAAGATTTAACGTATCTGTTCCATACATTATATAATCATCTTTTGCTTGTTTCTTTTACTCAAACTGTCAAGTCTTATGCCAGGTTGAAATAAATTTTCTCCAATCCCAGACATTCCTTTTACTAAGAAAATACTCATGTCCTTTGTAGTTAAAGATTTCTGGTATATGCATTTTTTACCTTTTTCCATCTCTATATCGAATTTAGTTGGCTCTGGAATACTTTATAAAAGTCCCTACTCTGCAAAAATCAATCCCTTTGTGATTTTCCCCTTTCTTGCAAATGGTTAGAAAAACTTTTATAATAATAGACTTAGGAACTGGTGTTAAAATAATGGTATCCAATATGAATCATTTGCCTATTATTAGTACTAGAGACTTAAAGCCACCCTTTTGTTCCTTTTAAGATGACAACCGAACTGCATGGCTGTGTTTTGAAGAAATGGTTTTAAAAACTTATTTTGGAATTAAGTAATTTTAGTTTTAAATTCTAAAACTAAAACATGAAAGCCACTAACTGAAATTTGATTGGAAATTGAAATTTGTAGATCTGGTTTTTAAAACCGAGTGAAAAATGTCTTTCTTAAACATTAATGATGGAGACAAGTCTTAATTTTAAAGTTCTTAAACTTCAGACTTCTTAAACATTTGGGCTTAGAGTTTTTTTGTTTTGTTTTGTTTTGTTTAATGTTGAGAAGGAGTCTCATCCTGTCACCCAGGCTGGAGTGCAGTGGCGCCATCTTGGCTCACTGCAACCTCTGCATCCTGGCTTCAGTCCTGCCTCAGCCTTCCAAGCAGCTGGGACTACAGGTGCATGCCACCACGGCTGGCTAATTTTTTGTATTTTTAGTAAGACGGGATTTCACTGTGTTAGGTTGGTCTCAATCTCCTGACCTTGTGATCCACCTGCCTCAGCCTCCCAAAGTGCTAGGATTACAGGCATAAACTGTGGTTTGGAGTTCCTAAATATTACTGAATTATTTAAAAATTCTTCTTTGGTTATTAGAGGCAACATTTATTTTATAGTTTTTATATAGAATTCTTACCAAATGGTCTCAACCATTATAAACCAAATAGAGGGTAGATTTGACATCTTATGAATATTGAGACATTTACTCTGTGTTTTTATCTGGATGAAAGAACAACGTATCTCTTGTGCCTTGAGAGAACCTATAGGTAGTTAGGCTTTTCCTCAGCAAGCAACATTTGAAAACTCAATTAAATCCCCATCATTTCATTGAATTCCCATAATGTGGTTTTATAGTACTCATTATATTCTGTGTGTGTGTGTGTGTGTGTGTGTGTTTAAGATGGAGTCCCACTCTGTCACCCAGGGTGGAGTGTAGTGGTGCAATCTTGGCTGCAGCCTCCGCCTCCCAGTTTCAAGAGATTCTCCTGCCTCAGCCTCCCGAGTAGCTGGGGTTACAAGCTTGTGCCATCATGCCCGGCTGATTTTTGTATTTTTAGTAGAGATGGGGATTTCACCACATTGACCAGGCTGGTCTTGATATCTTGACCTCAGGCGATCCTCCCACCTTGGCCTCCCAAAGTGTTGGGATTACAGGTGTGAGCCACCATGCCCGGCCTGTATTCTGTATTTTTATGTATATCCTCACTAAATACATTTCTTGAGAATAATGAAGGGTTTTTTTTATTCACCTTTTTATCCATTACGGCGTTTTGCATATGGTAAAATTCTAAAGCATGAGCCAAACCAAACCTGGATCAAACTGAAGAAAATTGTTTCTCCCCTTTCTTATTAGAGGAGGCACTTTGTTATAACAGAGGCTACATGTAGGTAAGTGTACCCAGGAATATGTAAGAATGTTAAGACATCTGAAAATCTGATTCAGAATTAAACAAAGGCAAATGAAGTTTCTACACTGTTTTTTGGCTTCTAATTAAACTTTTTTTTTCATATCACAATAATGTAAATATTTTAAAGTACTCCAGGCAGTTCTCCTTCAGTATTCCCAGTGATGTCATTAAGCCTATTCACCCTGCAACAGCTGCAAGTTATTCCAAACATCTGTACTGAATCCTTACACTATACAAGACCATTTGAAATCAACTTTCTCACCCCATTAACAGCTTCAGTAATTCTCTATTACTTTTCTAACCAAGGGTTAGGAAGAAATAAATCTAGTGTATCAGAATGAAAAATCCTGAAAATTGCTTTTCAAAACTAATTCTCTGTGGTCACGAACATAATATTTAATTTACTCTTCCAGATTTCTGTACTTAAAAAGTTAGTTTCTTAAATACGTAAAAGTTAGATCATTTGATAAATGCTTAAAAAGACTTAAGTTTATTAAGTCTTATTTGGTAGTAAATATAAAAGACAAAACATTCCAGGTAAAAATTATTTCATACATTTTAAACAGTTTATTTAGAGTAAGTATAATCAACTCAAAACTCCACTGCCTTATTTCTCTGGGTCTTGCATATTGGTGGAAATTTTTCTCTGCTCTTTTTTTTTTACATTTTATGTTGTGGGATAAGCATGGAATTAATTGAACCTATGACCTATATATTCCACAACTTACTTCGATCCTTCCATTAGGCACCCATCCAGAGTAGAAGAAACTTCTCAGATCACAGAAGATCCTCAAAAAAATGTCATTTTGTTTAGTTTCATTTTAGTATTACATTGATGAGAAAAAAAATGAATTCCCAGTGGGGGCCACTATCTGTGTGGAGTTTTCATGTCTAGTTTTGTGCCACTACATAGATCTATGCTAAGGCCTAGCAGTTTTGCCTTACTTTTTCACCAACAGAGTAAATTTCAACAAAGTGCAAAAAGGCAAATAATGTCCTAGTGCTAACTTGAAGATAGCTTGACCTTAGTATTATTATGAAAATAGTTTGACCTGAAAGGGTTCTTGCCTCCTTAGGGAAAAAAACTAGTCAAAAAGCTATTGTAATAGTCCTCCTCTAGCTAATTTACATTGTAAATTATCTGTGGATAACGACTATATGAAAGTTGTAGTAGATCCTGGGGATTCAGCAATGGATAAAACAGATGAAATGTCTGCTGTTACGGAGCTCATTTGTAAAAGGTGAAGATATATAATAGGGGTTAGAGAGAAAAGTAAAGCAGAGAAGGGAGAGGAGGTGAGTGTGTTTGGTAAGGATGTGTGTGTACAATTTAACTAAGGTGGCCAGGAAAGACCTCACTGAGAAGCTGATGTTTGAATGAAGATCTGAAGTGGGGGCAGGTAAAGGTGTATGCCTTATACAAAGGTCACAGCTGAGCCTGCCCCTCTTTATCCATCTCTTTTCATCTAACTTCCAGACCTTTTTTTTTTTTCTGCTGGTAACTCATACCTTTTAAAGTTTAAACCAATTTACTTTCTTCCAGCTCTGCCCTCCACCACTTCCTTGCCCCTAGCACACACACAATTAATCAGCACTTAAAAACAAAAACCTAGCTCTTTACAAAAGGTGCAGGGATAGAGTGGAGGTTTTGAATACTTGTGCTTCAATTATTTTTCCCCTGTCATCTTTTATATTAAAGGAAATAAAATATAGGGGTGTCTTTTCCTGGTGGAATTGGTAGAGAATATCTGTGGCAGTTAGTGCTAATGTTTATAGAAAGAATAAACACTAGTGAGATCATGATGGAGAAAGACCAGATCAGTAGGGACCGAATTATAAAGAGATTTCGTTTCTAGGCTAAAGAGTTTGGATAGGTCATGAGTGCATGTCATCCTTTATTTTAATCAGTAGTGGAACTATGGCTCTCAACTATGTGGTTGAAGGAATAAACTTAGACAACAAATCTAAATTTCATGTATCCATTGCATTTACCTGTTACATTTCCTCAAGGACTTCGCTCTCCTCAAACTTTTTGGTCCTTTTTTTTTTTTTTTTTTTTTTTTTAAATCAAACACTTATAAGTGTTGGAATACGTACTAGCTTGTCTAATCTTTATAAACAATTGATGCAATAGGTGTTGTTACTATCCCTGTTTTACTAATGAGAAGACAAGGACACAGAGAGATTAAGGAACTTGCTCTGGATTCTACAGCTAGAAATTAGGTGGTGG